GACTGTGAGAGGATTTCAGGAATGCCTGATGCTCTTGCTGTAGAGAAAGTTGAGTGGAAGCCACTTGTGGGTTCAGTGCTGACCACTGCCTTGGACAGCATGGTCACAACTGATAGCCAAGAAAAGCGCCCTGCTGAAATGCCCAGGTCCTATCATGTTACATTTTGTGGCAGTTTGGTTTTTTTGCAGGATGTACTTCTTTAAAACAGAAAAAAATATGCCTGAAAGGGAAAAGAAACCATATTTTAATGGAGTTTTCTACTTGTGCTGGGGAATAAACATTCTTCTCTGCATGGCAAAGCTGCAGAGGGATGGGGAAATGCTTCTGGCTTTCACCTTTTCCAAAAAAGCTGCTGTGTTCCAGCTGCAGCCAGCATAAAAAGCCCTCATGTTTTATCATGAGGCTGCAGAAACAATAGCAATGCCTAACTTTTCTTAAAAGAAACACTATTCTTTAGTTCTTAAAAAATTCCTCCCCCTATTTGTACAGTTTTGGATTGCTTATGTGGAATGGCACATTCTACTGAAGCCTTTTTCAAACAGCAGTGACACAGTGGAATTAAGGCTTTATCCTTTTCTTTCTGGTGGAGTCTTAGTAATGCTGGGTTGGAATATTGCAGTCAAGAACCTTAAATCAGGCTTTGGTAACAGCTTGCTGTGCCAATACAGAAGAGTAAGTGGAGATAGGTTTCCTAGATCTGTCTTCTTGGATTTTGCAGATAAGTGTGTCATTCTTTACCTGGCATCAGAGGTCTTCCCCCAGTCTCCATGACCTGTGAAAAATAATAGAGCTTGATGTTGCAATTACAGCAGCCAGCTGTAATTAGATATTTGGAGGCATCCTCTGATTCCTTGGACACCTTATGCCAGGTTTGCATGGGTGATTCCTAACTCCATCCTCCTTACAGCTGTGGGTTGTTTGCTTTGTTACTGCTTTGTGCCAACCCCATTCAATAGCAGACATTTATTGTTTGCAATTCTTCTTTCTGTTAATATACTTGTTAGTCTTGACATCTCTTGCAAGTTTGGGCTCCTAATGGTTTCCTAATTCTTTGCATCTCCAAGGAATATTTCTGTATTTGTGAGTGTGCCCCTTGTTCCCTACATCTATTTCATCCAACTTCTGGAGAGTCTAGGACCAAAATACTGGATTGTCTCTGAATCAGACACTCTGCATCCTCTAGTACTTTATGGTGAATGAAGTTGTTATTTGCTCAAATTCTGTTTGGTGACTTACTGCATTTTGGATAAAGCATGTACACTGAGTCCAATTTTTGTGTTTAATAAATCTGGTTTGACAGGGGAGCTGATTACTACAGAACTCCCAGCAGAGGTGTACTAATGGTTTTTGTGCTTCCTGTAAAACACATTGTTTGGTTGCCTTAATTTCACTTGAGCCTTGATACACTTTAGACTTTAGATCCTTCCTTTAGAAGAAGCTTCCCTGGGAAAGGGAATTGGAGGAAGGAAAGAAGACCAAGAGCTTGGAAGTGGTGGCAGGACACTGAGGGACTGGGTAACCAAAAGTGTCTGAAGTCTGAACTGAGTTACCAGGCTCTGCTCCCATACACCTGGGCTAAGCCAGGAAAGGAATCTCTTCCTTTCAGCTACCAGGGGCTACACCTGGTTTAGGAGAAAGCTTTCTCTGATGATGGAGTTCCTATTCAGGTTGAGTTGTTTTTTATGTTTCTTTTTGAGCACTGCAAAACCTCATAAATTTTATTTCAAAAGCCTGTCTAGTGAAGGAATGTGAATTCATGTGGACAGAGATGAATCCATGCCAAGTGCATTCCAGGTGGGAAAGCTATATGGAGTGTCTGTTGTTTCAGGCTGTACAGCAATAAAGAGTTTAAGTCTTCACAAAAAGGCTGAATAGTCCTGCTCCTTTTTAGAGGCTGTGCACTGTAGTGTTTTGAATTTGCTTTTTACTGATAATTTTCTACCTCACAGAAAATAATTAGTTTTATTGTTGCCATTGTAGGTTGTCCATCATCTCTTTTGTTTTGTGTGTTTAAAGTAAAAGATATCTGTGATGGAGAAACACCCTGGATCCTCCCTGGGCCTGATAGATATTTTCATTTAGCGTTACTTTTTGTGTTCTGTGATTCAGTGGTTAATTCACTTGTGTTGTGACAGGAAACCATGAGAACATGGCATACACTTGCACTGGATGAGTCCTGTCACCATCAGCCCCAGTGAATGGTGTTTCATTCCATGTGGGCACCTAATCAGAAGTAACAGCAGTGTTTCAGGCTCAAATTCTTAAATTCACATGCTCTTGTTGCACTTTTAGTTGATATCTTTGGTTTGGGAAATTACAGTATATTTTATCTGTCATGATCTACAGAGATCACTACAATGTAAGCTTGTGGTATCCAAGCAGAATCTACCAACTGCTTGTGGCTTGGAGGGCTGGAGTGCTTTTCTGGACAGAAAGTTTTCTGTCATTGAAGCCCATGTCTTATTTGCCTTGGTGCTGATTCTGGGGTTTTTCTCAGTCTTTAATACATGTTTGTAAAAGGAAGAGAGGAAGCTCTTTCAGGTTTATACTGATTTCCAGGGACAAAACTGCAGAGTGTGCTTGGTGAGTCTGATCCAGAGGGTCATTCACACTTGGAAGCTGGTACAGAATAACAGTATTCCAGAGGAAAGTGGCAATGGAAAGAATTTTCTGTTCTTTTGGCCTTCTACCTTCTTTAGTCCTTTTTCTCTGGACTGAAGTGGGTAGAGCTGTTATTTATTCTGTGGTTGGGGAAAAAAAGACCAAAGCTTTTCTATACACGAGACAGTGTGTAGAAAGTTCTCCTGAGCTGTTCATACAGCATTTTGTAATACTATAATGCCTTATCCTGGCAGACATAAAAAAAGGGCAAAAGGCTGAAAGTTCTCTTTTAATCATCAGGACTTTTTAGGTGATAGAGTTACAGAGCAAAGTATTCTTGATCTGTTGGTTTAATGTTTGTCTGCCCTGTAACACTAACCCCCATAAAATTGCTGCAGCTCTTTATAAAGTTATTTTAGACCTTCTGCAATGTATACAGATTTTGTAACCTTGGATAAAAGCAGGTTTCAGTTTTACCCTTTCAGGCATGTGCAGAGTGCCCCAGCATATTTCAGTGATTTTGAACTAGAAACTTCTTAGATATGGGTTATGGTTTCAAAGCTCAATTGATATACCCTATGTCAAGGGAATTACATCAAGGAAATGGTTCTCTGTTTCTTTAGATGCTTAATATTGATTAAAGCTTTGTGTTTGCTTAAAGGATCCCATGGACTCTTTGGGGGGTTGATTATGTTGGTGTATCTGCCCTGGCAGTTTAGGAGAGAGCACTCTGCCTGACTCCATCCTCTGTTTTTATGTCTGTGCTGAAGAGTTTATCCATCAGATACTGAGTTTATGGAGTGGTTCAGCTTCCAGTGACAGTACTTCCTCCAAGCTTTTTGCACTAAGTTAAATTGTTCATCCATGTGGGATGGTAGACAGCTCAGCAGTGTGACATAGTAACTAATTTAGGAAAAAAAGAAAAGGAGAAAGGTTAAATTAAGAGCCTACCTAGGACAGTGTGGCTTGTTTTTTTTTTTTTCTTGGAGTGTTTTGGTGAATCTTGAAAAATAACAAGTGGTAGGAAAATCCCTGTATTGTGTCAGCTCACTGTCATGTTTCCCATATTTTACAGTAATCATCCAAGTTATTCAGAAAGTTAGGGCCCCACAAGATAATATAAATAGCACTCCATCTATTGTATCACTTGCAAAATGGAAGTCAGGGTACAAGACATGGGAGAAAAGGAGAAAAGGACAAAACGACAAGCTGGTGATGCAGAAGTGATGGTAGGATTAGGGGCCATTACATGGTGCTACTTTGCATGGATTAGTGAGGGGTATATATATGTAAATTATTGAGCACTATAATCTCCTCCTATTATAATCAGCTACCAGAAAGCAGAGTTGTCATAGTGTTGGTATCAGTTCGTGGTTTTCTTCAGCTAGTTTGATAAAGTTGGGATTTAAGGAAAGACACTAAACTGGATGAAGTACAGACTTGTTTTGCACAGACCTCTGGATATATGTTAAAGCCTGGGAAACAGGCAAGGGTCTGTGAAACATCCAAGGAAAAAGAGAACAAGGAGAAGACAGTATACAGTATAAGAAGTGAGATATGTGACACTCTTGTTTATACACAAAGATATTATCCTAAGGAAGGACAGCAAATTTGGGAAAGAAAAACGATGTGTAGGAAACTCCTTGCCCTAATAAAATCAGAGTAACTGCTGTAATTAGAGTAACTACACCAAGTGTTGGAAAGAGGAGGAACAGATTAAATATTTGAAATTAAAACAAAGACATATTGTTGCCTAGAGTAAGAAACACAAATGTCTGAAAGGAGACTGAAGTTTCTCACTTCATGATAGCCTTACCCCCCACATCATTGGGTTCAGAAAACAATAGAGAATGCTTCACAATGGTTAGGAAGTTCCTTGTATCTTACTTTGGCTTACATGACAGGCTTGTTTCAAAGGATGACAGCCTTTTAATACTGTGCAATTATTAAAAAAAAAAAAGGTGATAATGGCTCTGAAACATGGGGTCTGGATCTTAATGATGTGTAAAGCTTTTATAAGGGACTCTGCCAAGCAGTTTGTATTATTTCTGTCAGTTTGCAAGGAAAGGTGGTTTGCAATGCCTTGGGGGGGCTCTGTAGTTAAGAATTTTATATCTGAGCAAAGGACTTAGGCTAACAATTAAATGTGATTTTTAGATGATTTTTTATAAGCAAGATGACAGCTTACATAAATTTGCAAAGATTTTGCACTCATGGCATGCTTCAGAAACATTCTGAATTCTTCATATATGCAACCTTACCTTTCAGTTTTTCTGGTGTATGTTAACTTAAAACAAATATACTTTAATCTGTTATTTATTATTATTTTTATTTTTGATGTCTGCATGGTTTTGAATTCTAATGATTGGCTAAAAGTTTCTTTTTGATTCTGTTTCAGATGCATCCACTTGGACTGTGTAATAGCAATGATGAGGAAGACCTGTATGAATATGGCTGGGTAGGAGTGGTGAAATTGGAACAGCCAGAGTTGGAGCCTAAGCCATGCCTCACTGTCTTAGGAAAGGTAAGGGAATAGTTTGGGGCTGCATGTAAATGTTTCTTGGAAGGATTAGCTCCTTTCTGAGAAAAATCAGCAAGAAATAAACCCACAGAAAATCCCCTTACTCCACAAAATATTCCTGTTTTGCCTGTTTTCACTCTAGGTACTTCAGGGAAAGATGCTGTCCTAATTCAGCTGATAGAGATGGTGATGGGAAGCTGAGCATTCCCTTTTTGAGTTCTCTAGAAACCTAAGAAAGATGAAAGCAAAAAATGGCTTTTTAGCAGAATCAGTATTGGAGTAGAAAGGGTGAACTGCAGCTGTGATTCTTACTTGGTCAAAGCAGTCAAAATGAAATCATCTTCCTGGTTTTCCTTAGGCACAATTTTCTGAGAATACATACATTCATTTCCTCTTTTTGGGGAAAGAGAAGCTTTCTAACCTAGAGAGATTTATTCACTTTAATCTCAGGATAGGTACCTCTAATAACAAGTGAATTTTATTGTACTGGTGAAAAAAATAAAAATTTTCATCATCCTGGAATCTTGCTATGGAATGGGGCCTCTGGAATCTTAATTTAAGTGCAAAACTTTTCTCTTTGTTTTATGGGGTGAAGTCACTAATATGCCATTACTGATATGTTAAAAAAAGAAAGCAGAAAGGTGACCTTCTTTTGTTTATGCCTTAGAATTTTTGAGTATTGATGTTATTATGTGTTGGCATTTGAAGTCTAGAGGGTTTGAAAGTGTGTGAAAGAGCATAGGCCACAAATTCTACCAGTAACTGAGTAGTTGAAAACAACTGCATTACAGGGATTCATGCTAAAATCCAGCTGCCTGAATTTGGTAGGATTGTGTTGGTGACTTCAGGTTAGCAGTGGATCAAGCAGAAAATAAAACTGCAGGTTGACATTTCTTTTGTGTAAAACTTGACTCTGTACATTTATAAACAAAACTTCTAAAAACTTCACCTTTCCAAGGAAATGGGAAGCCATCTTCTTGTCTAAAAGTTGCTGCAGGTTTAACTTGTGGTACATGGGGAAAACATCTCTTTAAGAAGTGGATTTCCTTTCTATTGAAGTCAGCATAGTACAGCTTTTTTTCTAACTTGGAAAACTGTTTCACAGAAATTCTAGGTGTTGCTTTTTGTTCTTAGAAAGGTAATCTGAGGATGAGGTCTTGTAAGGATGGGAGTTAGAGAAGATTCAGTCCTGAAAGATGCATACTGATCCATAAGCAAACTCCAGGAGTAAGCTGAATCTTGAGGCAAGGAAAGTCTGGTCAGTCCCATCTGTCAGGCTCTTGAAAATTAGGTGATGAAATAGATGTGCAAAATGGATAAGGAAAGTTAAAACATAGATACCCTGCACAAAAAAAAGGGTTATACCTGGCCCACTGCTTTGTGCCCAAATCCCACCAGTCCTCTGTACTCTCCATGTCCCCAAAGCCACACCCATCTCCAGGGTAAGTTCAGCTCAGTATTTGCTGATGTTTGCTTCCTAAGGCTTGGCCTGCTGAGCAGCAGACTCTGGCTTTGCTTCAGGAGCTCTGTAGCATCTGCTTTGATGCATAATGATGGTGATGTGACATAGGGTGTGTCCAGAGAATTAGGGCAGAGAGTTCCAAATGTGTCAGTTTATGTGTAGCAATTTCAACAGGTGAGAAAAGTCTGGCCAAGGTTCTAGTCAATACTGCACTGCATTTCATTGTTCTGGATTTTTTTCTACTTATTCTTCTCTTCCTGAAATATTTGTTCCCTATTTCATGCTCTCTGCTGTAGTTTCTCCTCTCCATCTATTGCTAGCAACCCTTCTGCTCAGTTCTCACTCTGCTCAAGCTATGTCCTCATTTAAAAGGACTCTCAGAATTCCTGGAGTATTGCTGAGTGTAGATAGCATCAGCAGGAGCATCAGCCCTGAGTTTCTCTCAGGTCTATCAGTTAAGTCACCCTGGTTATCTTGGCAGAGAGAATAAGTTGTGCTGTGATTGTCTGGGTCTCTGAAAAGTTCAGTTTCCATGCAGTTTGGTACACAAATTGCTATGTGAGCATTCAGTGTGGCCTGTAAACTATTTTGCCTGGGTAAATATCAAACCTGCTGCATGTGTATGTGTGTCTTCTTCTGGTTATTTTTAGGATTTGGCAGCTGACTTAAAAGAAAGTGTGAAAGGGAAAGGAATGGGGAGAGGGAGAGGAGAGGAAGGGAGGGAGGGAGAGGAGAAAAAAGAGAAGGAAAAGGAAAAAGGAAAGGAGTAGGGGAAGTAAAAGAAGGGAAAATGGGGGAGGGCTGGTCTTGAACAGGGAAAGGAATTGGATTTTTTTTCATATAGAAAAGGAGGAGGAAATCCAGAAGTGCAAACCTACAGTTTGTTCCTCATTAAGTTTGATTTAACTTGCCCCCATGGTAGGGCATCATAGAGGTGATATTGTTGAAAGTTTGGAATATGGTGAAGCAGAATGTAGACTAGTTAAAAGCTGAAGAGGTAAATTGCATGGCACATGAATCTGCTAAGAAGTTTTGTATGGCTTTATTCTTACTGTTGGTTTTGGTTGTCAGGGGCTTTTTTCATTTAGGGGCGGTGGTTTTGTTTGGTTTTTTTAAAGTAAAACTTTGGCCTGTGTTTTTAGAAGTTCTGTTCTAGTTGTTTATCCACAGGGAGCTATACAGAATTTAATGTGTCCATTTTCATATTGATTTTGTAATTTTCATATTGATTTGTAATTAACATTGATTTTGATATTGCTCATCCTTCTTAGTCATTGCTTGTATGATGTAATGGAAATGAAAGTGTTGAAAATATGTCTCTGCTGTTAGGAGTGCCTGTGGAAACTGGGCCTTGGTTGAGGCAAGGAGTGTGTGTGGCAGCTGTGTTTTACCATTACCTTTGATCACAGTGCAGCCCTGTTTGAGGCCATGCTGCATGCAGGCAAAGCAAAGGCCTGGGTTTTACTGATCTTATGAGCTCCTGAATAGGGCTAGAAGGGGAATGACAGAGGAAGAAGAAAGCTTTTGGAAATGAAAAGGAAACCCCGTGAACCCGAGCAGCATTATTGGCTGGATTTGCCTACCAGGGAGCCGCTCAGTTTCTGCCAGGCTAATTTTGCTTCAGCTTCTCTCCCCCACACCCCCAGCCCCACCTCCCCCTCTCTCCTCCTTTCAGACTTTTTTTGTTTTTGAGGCATGGCTGTAGTAACTTGGTTCTCAGGCTGGGAACCCACTGAGCTGTTGCCATGGTCACTGGGAAGCTCTTGGTGCCATGTGCTTCAAAGGGAACCTTTCCCCTCCTGGAATTCCTGCCTTCCCTCTGCTCACAGCACAATGAGGCTCCTTCACTGCTCCAGCAGTGGCCCTGTGCTGGAGGAAGGGAGAAGCAGGGTTGCCTGCAATACTGATTGCCTGCAATACTGATTGCCTGCAGCAGCATCCTGGCAGGGCTGGCCAGTTGGAGCTGGGTGTTCTTTTGGGTCCCCTCCAGCCCAGACCACTCTGGGATTCTGTGATCCACTGCACCTGCACGTGTCCTGCACTCTCCAATATGCAGACTCCTGTTCTTCCCCCACTCCAGTAATTTTCAAAGCAAATTACATCTGTCAAGACAGTGAAATACAATTCAGCAATACCATTGTTTTTTATTTCAGTGCAGGATAGTGAGAATATGTTGAAGATTAGTTTTTAAAAGTAGCACTTCTTCCCTTTCTGCAGGATTTGAAGTCCACAAGAAGGGATTTCATTCTTCTTTCTCTCGCAGGGACTGCTCTTCTCTCTATCAATAGGATATATGAATTTGAGGATGTGCATCTGAGTATAACCTAACAAAGACAGGATGTCTCTGCTACTACAGCTTCCTGTTTTCTTCAGATGAAAGAGATCTCTAATATGAGGAAATTCCTGGCAGTTCTTCCAATATCCATTCACTTCTAAGAGCTTATTTACAAAAATTTACACAAATATTAACTACAAGAATCTCTTGTTTTACCATGCCATCATTATTATTATTATACTAGTTAGGCTGGGGCAAAAATCATCATAACTTGAAAATGCACTTAACAGTTGAACTGTGATCCCTAACCTTTTGTCTAACAACTTAGTTTAAATATAAAAATTCCTATAAGGTAATCAAATAAGAATTTATGGGACTGTGTTGGTAGTTTAGTTCCTGAATAAAGAGAGATCTGTTCTAAGACTTGAGAAACAAGAAGGCCTGTGAGGAGTTCATTTTAATCTTTTTCTTTCAGAGTTAATAAAACTAATAAAAAAGGCAAATTAAACAAAAGCAACTTACACCTGTATATTAATAGCCTAAATTAAGCAATCAGTTATATGCTCAGGTTGGTTGCTGACAGTATAAATATACTTTTTGTTTCTTTGTAATTAATAGTTTTATATACAGTTTGGATAATTTCCTTTAGAAATGGATATTGAATTTAGGCAAATGCTCTTCTATGCTAAACTTGTTCAGAAATTAGGACTGAACTATGCCATAGATTAAGATCTAAAATTAATGAGACATGCCTAAAACCATTGGTCAATGTTTCCACAACTTTACTTGTTCAGATACTTTCAACTGGTAGTGACAGCTGCAGTAAGGTACCCTGTGTGAGTCCTTGCTGCATGTAGGAAATATTGTCACTTCAGGAAAACTTCTCTCCATTGAAGTAGCTGATATCCTTTTTATGGTTTCTGTTCCACAATTTGGAGACCTTTTCTACCTTCTGTTTGTTAGCCTGTGCTTCTTCTGTGCAAACAGCATCCAAAAAGAATTTGTAATTCTTTTTCAGGCAGTAGTCTCAAAAATTAATGGCCAAATCTCATCAATCTGCATGAAAAGTAATAGTATGAGTGATTTTTAAGCTGGTTGGTTTATTTATTTCACCTGAAGGTTTGTGCTGACAGTGTAGAGTCCAGTGGAGGTAGGAACAAGAGGAGATAGGGTCTACGTTTTGTGATGGCTGTGTGGGCATAAATGTGTCAGACTACAGACTGAGGAAGGTTTTTTGGCAGTATAAACTTAATATTGGTTGTTTTG